GAAAGCCACAGAAGATCCACAGGGTTCCTCAGGATTCTCAGGTGAGAAGTGTTTGCTTCATTACAGCCAACGGTCACTGAAAGACATAGGTGATTCAACCCTCCTCCAAGGCCCACAAAAAGGTACCACCGTGCCTGTCAGCAGCTCAGCAGGCTTTCCTCCATAACGTAAGACAAAAGGTGCAGTAGAAGTTGCCCACTGCAGATGCTAGGAAACTGACTGCTGCATTAGGAAGTTTTCAAAAAGGAAGACTCCTGGTCTTTGACTGGCAGGTCTGTCTCATCCCCATAAAACAGACATGACACCAGTGTGCCAGCCAGAACACTCTACAAACATGTATTTCACTATTCAGAGTAAATGAAATACTAACAGAAAAGCAAAGAGAAAAAATAAGTAAAATCAATGTTACTAGTGTTGAGACTATTAGTAAGTATTCTTAAAAGCATGTTATTCTTAAAACAGGTGCTGAATCGTGCAAACCCACCGCTGAACCCTTGTGCTCTGGGGCCTCCCAGCTCCAACAGAAATTTTGCAGGTATAATGGTCAACACAGAGATCAAATTGTAACACGTACACCATCATTTTTAACCTGAGTGTCCCTGAAGAGTCTTTACTCACATAGCTATGAAGACAGTTCATTCATCAGAGGAAGGAGACAAGCAGACTTGTCTTCAACCAAGGTCAAGAAAGAATGTTTTCACAAATTATTTTTATTATTTAGACCGAGACTGAAAAGTGATTTTTTGTAAACTCTACAAGATTTACGGGAAGATTCAGAGGAAGTAAAAACAAAAGCAAAAAGACAATCCAAGGTGAACAGACCATAACTTTATTGGAGATATACTCAGCTACAATTATTACAAAAAACTATTAAAGGTAATTGTGATCCATAAGGTGCAGATTGCAAACTTCTGCAGCATGATTACAGTATGAATGAATTACATTTTATGTCCCTTAAAGACAGCTGCAGCATGTGATGGTAAATATTTTATTGTCCATCAAATTATATTTGTTATTCATTCTACTTGATTTTAACCATCTTTTCAGTCAAACTATTTACAATAAAAATGCCTGCAATTTCCAACTCTTGTTCACAAACATTTTTCTCTCCAACTTGCTGCTGCAGTAAATTCAGAGTGCATCTACAAAGCAATTAAAGTAGTCTGTGGTTGCCATTCAAATAAAAGAGGGAAAAAACCCAATGATTTTATTGGATAAAATTTATTTTTAAGAAATGTAGTTAGCTTTGACAGAAGTTAATTTTAACTGCTAGTGGAGTATACTACAATGACCTCTAGATATTTGCTAATATAATTCAGACTGAGTTACAGTTGATATTTAGATTATATTTCATGGTCATGAACTGTAGTGTTTTAAGTTTTAAACCTAATACAAAAGAAATTAACTTCTGGAAAATGAGAGCAATTGGAAAAGGATCAATGTCAGTAATTAAGTACCAAAAATCAAAATCCTTCTCGCTTCACCCATGCAAAAAATACAGATTTCCATGAGAACACTTTTGTAGGGAACCCCACCCAAACTATACAGATCCAGAATACTGTCAGACAGAGGCGAGTGTAGTATCACAGCAGACCACAATGCTATTTGTCATTTTCGGATTACGTGTGGTGCTGTGACTGGGACACAAAGATTTCACTTTCTATAGAGATAAATGCACACAGCATAGTTATGTCATATGCAGCAACAAAACCCCCACATTTCCAGTTCTGTATTTGCTGACAAGGAGGAAAACCCAAACTCTGCAACATACATATAAGCACAAGATCTTCAGGTACGTAAAAGAATGCAGTTCCACTGATTAAAACGATACCACATCAATTTGCACTGGCTGAGGATCTGGCACATCATCCCTGGGCCACCACTATATTCCTCCCCAGCACGGAAACTGGTCTTGTCCAAGTTCTGTACTCTGCAGTCACAACATACTATTGTGTAATGAGACTCAAAAATAGTAGGCTTTTTTTCTGTATGGACTTTAGCAGCATCAAGCTGAACAAACACTTCAGAAGTCGCTACTGGGCACTTCAATACTCAGACTGAGCAGAGATTTAGTTGAGGTTGACCAAATTACTAGGGGCTGTCTTCTCGCAAAAACTACATCATACACATAATATGTTGGTTTGTTCAGAGATAATTACTGGAGTGTCAGAGGTCATTCTAATTATAATTACTTCACATAACAGTAAAATGATGTAGTAGAAAAACAATAGCTTTAAAATACAATCAAGAGTTGTTACACATCTCTGTTGTATTTTTCCACATACAGTAAAAATGCCACAGACATTACAAATGACCTATTTAAGTTGTGCAAGTAAATGACACATTGCAGGCATTATAATTATCTTTTTCAAATTCAGTAAATCAGAACAGCAGCAAGGCCAAACCACATTTTTCCTCTCTGTTAAGTATTTTTTTCCTTGAAATGAGGTAAAGCATGGTACCAAGTGCAATGCTTATTTGTGCTACATGAACAGAACAGCGCAAAAAAAGCCATAAAAATAAAAACGCAGCATAGTTAGGAGGACTGTTTAAAGTACAGTATAACAGGACTTAGATTAAAAAAAAAAAACAAGGTTCATGCCAACTAACCCCCACACTATTTATGATGAGCCTGTGTGGTTGCTTTTGAAGATGGGTTGCAACAGTCCGCTTACACTTGTGCTTACAGCATGTCAAGTGATTTCGAGCCCAACCTTCAAACAATCAGATTTAGGTCTTTAATAGCATACACTGTCCAATATCAAAATTATATCAACTGTAGGGTAAAACACACAGATGTATAACATGGAAACTAATATGAATTTTCTATCTCAAAGGATAAAAAATATTTCAATGAGGTCACACTGGAAAAAATTACGGCATTTAAAATGCATTAAAAATGCATCAGCAGCAGAAACTACTTTATAGTCAGCCACTACACATTTCAGATTTCCAATTCATAGGTTTTATCTAGTAACAAAGTGATCATTAAACTATTCTGAAACACAGAGCAAGTTCAGTTCATTTTCTTTGCATTAAAACACTCTGCAGCACTTTACTGCTAACAATTACCAGAAACCCCTGAGAATCTATAACCTTGTAACAATCAGTAAAAAATTTCAGGTGTTGAAAGACCAATTTAAATTTTATTTTTTCATAATGCAGTTAAAACTACTGAAGACTTTCTGGATGGTCTGATTTTATCTGCTGATTGACATCCAGCCAGAAACACAAAATTGTTAACATTAGTGATAATGTATTTTTTCTAAGAAACTTCACTCCTACCACAAGAAGAGAGCTATAACTTAAACTGCTGACTATTTTTTTTTTTTTTTAAAACAGCTAACTCAAAGCAATTTACCTTTGGAAATTTAGACTGCATGTTTTTACTGTTCCATCTCATCCACATTTGTTTTATATACATCAAGACTTGAAGGTCGTATACCTCCTTGTTATATTTTCATGACTGAAGTACTAAACAAATGTTAGAGTTTTTTATAAGCTAGTTATTTTAATTCTTGGTCTGACTACTGGAACAACGTTGCTTTCAAATACAAGAATGGTCCTTTTCGCAGAATGAAAAGTGACTGAGATAGAACACATATGAACTTTTGAAAACTGTATTTCAGAAAAGCTTAATGTCTACCCCTTGTCACTAAGGCATTTATTTTAATTTTTTTGTTAAGAAAGCAAGAGCTGACAGTTTTTGTTTTGTTTTAGTGTGCATTTGTGAGGAAAGAATAGGGTTTAAAAGCAGGAAATACAGTATTTATTTGTAATTTAATACATAAGAGACAGCATCAAGTTGAAACTATTGTGCTGGAAAACGTTAAAACACCTTGCTCTGCTTTCTCAAACTTCAAGCATAATTAACAGGGCAAAATTGCAGCAAACCTCTACTGATATTGGTGGGAATACGAGACCCACAGCTTTTTTAAAAGGTAAATTAAGAGGTATTATAGTTACAGTGCAAAAATTAAAATTTCAAGCATAATATATAAACATAGCACCAAAACAGAAAAAAACAATGCATGCAAAAAAAGAAGGAAAAAGAAAAGAAAAAAAAAAAAAAAAAAAAAAGAACTGAGGTATTTAAGTGAAGAGTGCCTACAAAAATCTGATTAAAGAAGTATAGGCAAAGCCTAAAAAACAAAAGTATGATTTCCCCCCCACCCCAGCAGACCAAAACACCAATGAGCTAGTTTCTCTAAATTAAGGACCTAAATCACAGATGTATCAAAAGTACGGCAGTTATATCTCAAACATCAACTTTCATGTTATTTAACAGCACAGCTTTGGTAGGTGAAATATGCATGCAACTCTGAAAAGTACAGTAAGAAATTTATGTGGAAATATCTCTAAGTGTAAAGGTGCTCTGTTTGTTAAATACGTAACCAATTGACTATAAAATCTGCAGCATATTTTAGGTGTGATATGTCTAAGGTTATTTTGTTAGAGTGACAGTTTGCACTGTGCAATTATTCATTACTGTTTCCAGTATTGGAACTATCTAGCTTGCAGGTTTGTGTAAAACTGGAATTTTAGCCAAAGACCATACTTTGTTTATGGTATAAAAAAAACTGTAGACTAACCACCTCCTCAGAATTGTTAAAAATAACCTAATTACATATATATGAATACAATTTCTATTATAATCCTGTAATAAGTCACAGCTATAATAATGAGTTGTACTGTAAATATAGAGCTGTATCATTGGAAAATACATAATAAAATGAAGGGAATGTAAAACTGTTTGTTCCAAAAAAGATCAGAAATTAAAAATTATTCATGAGGGTTTATTTATTTTTAAGGCAAGAACCTTCTTTTATGCAAGACTGTGTGGCATAAGGAAACTGAGGCTTCATTCTACCAGTATGCCAGCCATTTCAATTAAAATCTGTCCCTAACAAATAAGTGCAATAATGATTGGGAATGCCATCTTAATGTAAAAAGATGACATGGAGAGAGGAGAAAAAAAAAAAGAAAAAGAAAAAGAAAAAGAAAGAAAAAAGGAGAATACTGGCACACTTATTCTTTCTTATACCAAATCATCCAGTACAGTTTATCAACTGCTTTATGACTGGCACTAGTGCACAGATTGAAGAATTTCAAGATTACTATATATAAATCTAGCAACTGCATTAGGCGTAAGCTCCCTGGCTTTCTAACACTAAGCAAAGCTGTACTGACAATAAAAGTAAACCAAAAAGACCTGACAACAATTATTCTGAACACTTGCTAAATGTCATCATTAAAGCACTCTCGTGATTAAACAAAGCAGAAGTGAGGAAAGAAGACAAGATTGTGTTTGCGCAAAAAACTATAACTACAATTAGTTCCAAAATTTTATACATGTTAAATGTTTTGTTATCTATTCTGTTATCAAACAAACTTTAAACTCTGTCTTCCAATTTGTTCCTCTCAACATCAACATTTTTAAAAATTTGCTTTATTTGTATGTGTTTTTTTCCTCCATTTTATTTATTTTTAAGAGGAGTCTCAGCTGTTTGGGACCTGAGGTTGATTTGCTTTGAGGCTTCGTAGTGCTCTTCTCGCAGCTGCAGATTTGGCAATCCTGTAGCTTCTGCCAACACCTTTAAACTTTCCTTTTCCTACAACTTCCACTGTTACTCTGACCTTTCCATCGTAAGTTCTTTCTGCAGGACTGCAAAAACACACAAGGATTACTTACTGCCTAGGCAAGTTAATGTGAAATAAGAGACCTACATTCTCTTTTCTACAGAAGTTAAAGCAGTATAGTTAAATAGAAATCATTACTTTGCTCAGAAAGTTGTGCAAGGAAAAAAAAAAAATCAGTGAGCACAATGATCATGCTAGTGCAAAAGAAATTAAAAATAATTAACAAAATTGAAAAATCCTCAGTAGTTTATGAGGCACAGCTTAAAAACATTTAATGGCAGCATGTACCAAATTAAGTCTATTCTTACCTAAATTTGGCTGTCTCTGGCTCCATCTCCAGCAGCTCTCGCACTGGGGAACGGGGCACATTAGCAGAAAATTTTTCTATTTGAAGGAAAAAAAAAAAAAATTAGTTTTGTTCTCTTCACAGCAGATGGCACTTAATTTTTTATTTTTTTTTTCTGAAAGCTGACAATACCTATTAACGGCCTCATCATTGGATAGTACACTTGCCAAACCATTTCCAAAGACATTCCACTATCCATGTAAATGGCACCAGCAAGGGACTCAAATATATCCCCCATGGCCTTTGGTACTTCAATGTCTTCCTCTTTTTCTTCATCTTCTTCAGATCTTCTGAGCTGTTTGTAATTAAAAAAAGCCGGGGGGGGGAAAAGGGGGAGAGAAAGAAGGGGAGGAGAAGAGAGAGAAACAATTGCTTCTTTTAAAATAAAACAAAGATCTTCAGAAATGTAAGATCTCTTACATCCTATCCTGAGCTGCTTCCTTTAAGTTTTTCATTGACAACTTTCCACAGTGAAATGGTTCTTTTATTCCCCAATGAAATCAAGTTGCTGGATATATCATTTTTCAAATGTGGAAAAAAAAAAAAAAATCCCAAACACCATCGCATACAGAGACTTTACATGCTTTGTGAATTCCTCCTGTAATAATTCTGTAGGATTTCACCATGGGTCTGTTTTTTCCAATAAGAAACAGACTTGGCTCTATCAGTTAATACTAGAAAGCTACTCGTAACAAAGGAAGAATTCAGACATCTCATAGAAGGAGACTTTAAAATTTGCAAATCTAACCTCTGGATGAAAGTTGGACGTACCTTTCCTTACGTCTTTTACCCCAGAACACAAGCATGAAACAAGCATTAGCAAAATAAGTTGTTAGTAACTGATAACCAGCAACATCAGACTGAACTAACAGGCACACTTAGGTATTTTTTTTAAACGTAGCAGGCAGTGTCTTCCTCTATGCTACTAATTTGTGACAACAGTCTTTTACTTTATTAAAACTAAACTCTCAGTTTATATCTTAAAGGTCTTGAGTTAATCTAATCCTTTACTAAAAACATCTCCAATACATTTAACAAAGTAACCTGAAAACAACATTTTTGACTATTACTCTGCCTAAAGAAAAATGAGTTTCTCTGTCTTTTCCCTCAGCAGCTACCCTCTCACTCCATTTGGCCTCTCTGTGGGGATTAAAACCCGATTCAGTCCTCTTCAGAGTCACCATACTACTTCATAAACTAGTCCCACCCAATATTTCCACCTAAAATAAATCAAAGAAGTCAGACCTGATGTGTACACATTCCAAATGGGAATTTTGATCTTAAAAACCAAATTCAACTGTTTTGAATAGCATATTTCATACCAAGTGCAAACTGAAGCACTTTTGAGTTACACTGAAATAACAGAAGGAGAAAGAAACCAAGAGCTATAAGGCAAGGGACAACAGATGTTTCAGGAGTGAGATTTGAAAAAAGAAAAGCAGATGACGTGGAGACACACATGGAAACCAGTCTAGCTGGCATGAATTGCAGAAACAAAGACTCTTGCATTAACTCTGATGAAATAAGAGTTTCAGTAATTCAGTGCCAGACCAAGATAGGGAGCAGGCGTAGGGAGAGTGAAACAAGAATTTTATTTGAAACAGCTATCACACAGTTTGGTTGCAACTTTGGTGGAAGTTTCTAGGCAATCTTTCTGCATACTAGCAGAAACTGAACAAAGCTAAAAATCACTACGAGTTCTTAAAATAAGTTTTTAGCCTTTTCATACTCATACTGTGAAGAAAGCAAGAAGGATAACAGAATTTGATCCTCTGATGAAAATTAATTTATATTATCAAAATTCCAGTGACAAATTTCTTAGTCAATGTTTCCTGAATCTTCCCATAAAACATAATGGATTTCACTCTTCAACAGAGTGCAATGGCTGTAAACACATATATGTAACTGAAGTATTTTGATTCCCAAGCTTTTAAATTGTGTATCAGAAAGAAGAAATTACTAAAGACAATGATAACATGTTTATTTAGTGCTGGAGTATTCTCAGACGGAGACTGGTCAGTTTTTCAGAAGACAAACTATTAAGGATAATGAGAAAGTCCATCTCTTCCAGGACTCTGATTAGAATTTGACTCGCAAGGCCCTTGCTCTCATACATTTTCTGAGCAGCTTATCTAAATGAGTTAGTTTTAGTCCATACTCTAGCAAATAAACATTCATTATCATTAGCTTTCCTGCACAGCAGATATGATCTGTGTTTGCAGGTCTTCAGTTATACTATTTTTCATGTGGTTTATTTGAAAGATGCATATAAAGTTTCCCTGGCCAGCAGATACAAAGGCTTTAGGTTCAGATCAAACACACTTGAGTACACTGCAGTAACACCTGCTCCAGAAGCAATCATCAGAAGAGAAACAGTGGAAATCTCTGTCAGTGTGCTACATTAAATAGTCCCAGCATTGTGCCATGGTAGTACTGTTCATGATGTTGCATGGATATCCTATCCCGAGTCAATATTATGTGACTTAGTAACTCTTCATCACAATTTTATGATATACTAGTGCTTCCAATCCGTCAGCAAAGAAAGCAAGCTAAGTGTTTTCCCCAGCCCCCATGTTATTCTAACAACACCAGAAAAGCAAAACAGTGACTGAAATCAAGTGTCATAGAAAAATCAAGAGATAAACGGGTTCCAATTTAATTATTTTCTGAATGTTATTTACTTTATACTTTCTGGAGATTGTATTTTACTTTGCATATTGCACTGCACACTTTATTACTGGGAGCCAGCCTCTTGGCTGCTGTGTGCATAAAACTAAAACACTACAAAAATGTGCACCATGCTGAGAAATCCAGTGACATGCTTCAATTCAGATACTGAATGCACTTCTACTTTCACTAACCTCAGAATCCATTCCTTGCATTTCATTCTTTTCCATTTGAAACTGCACAAAGTCATCAATAACATGAAACAGTTCAGGAGAGACAGCTTTGAAGTACTTGTGGTAGTCATACTTTACAGCTAATGATGCAAAAATGGTATTATTGACTAGAGCAGATCGTAGGTCAGTAAGAACTCCTGGAGAGTGTTGCCGTGGGTCTTCATAAAGGTGCTTGGTTATGAGGTAGTCCAAAATTGCATCTCCCAGGAATTCTAAGCGCTGGTAACAATCTTAAAGCATTGGAAATAAAAGAATGTATATCACCACAATTAAGTTTAAACACACACACATTCTTTCCAGGCCTTTCTGGATAAGAGGTCTGGTACACTGCCATGTAAATTTCACAAACTAACCAGTGTGCAGAGAAGATAATTTGGCTTTTTTTAAAACAGGTATCTTTGTGTTTAAAGAGATTGTTATTGAATTATTTAAAAAACAAAAAGCAAAACAAACAAACAAACCAACCAAAATAACCCAGAAAAAAAATAAAAGTTATATCTAATAATAAAGCCACTTCTGAACTAAATGTTAACTTGCCAGGCAAGGGAAATACTTGTGTTTATAATCAATTAATGCTTTTACCTAAGATCTTCACATTATGCTGAGAAACATAAAAAAGTAAAACCAAGAGATTCTACCAGCAGGATGATCTGAAAATGATAACAATTAAATCTCAAAAAAATTAATAAAGAAATCAATGTATTAAAAGCAGGGGAAACAAAATCTGAGATTTTTCATTTAATTTTCCATACATTTAGACTTCTCAAAAAGCATTGAACAAAGATTCTCATTTAGAATAGGTCTTTTAAACTGGAAAATAAAATTGCCAAGCAGCCTTTGCTGTTTGAATTGACAGGGGACACAGTAATGGAGAGCTATGGAGGTCTATTTTTACAATATAAACAAAAGCAAAAGCCCCTCTTAAAAGCAAACAGGGGTAGGTGGGTAAAGGAAGGAAGACAAAATTATTACAAAAGTAACATGAGAGTGAAATGGCTAGTACCAAGTTGCTTTTATAGCAGCTGAACCTAAGATGCTGCCAGATCTCAATTGCTAGCTACTCCTTAAAAGAAAATGTTACAGGTAACAGCAATTCGCAGTTTTCTTACTTGGTAAATAGAAATGGAATAAGAAGTTGTTGCTTTCAGCAACGTAATTTAATCTAGACAGTATGCCTCACGGTTTTCTCTTTGTTATTATATATATAAAATAAGGAATCAACCACCTTCTATGTTTTGTGCAATATTTCTAAAAAGTAAATATATATGTGGGTAATATTATCTAGAATGAAAAAGGAAAGGAGTGTTTCTGTGTTTTATCAGAACTGATTCTCAACGTAGCAACATTTCAAAATTACTTATTTTTTAATTAAAGCAGAGCTTTCCTACTTCTTGGAATAAGGAACCAATTCACTACAGGGAAAAATTCAGACTGCTGACTGCACAGGAATTTGCCATTCACTTCAAATAAGGCTGGAATTTTACCATGGTTTATTTTTAATTGCATATTATCACAGGAAAACATTTAAAGTTTTAGAATGAAAGAATACTAAATTAAGTAGTATAAGCAAAAGTAATTCAAGAAGATTACAGAAATACAAATTTGTACTGCTGTAAAATCTTTTATGAGATTGTGCACAGAAACATTAAGCAGTTAACCTGAAATTTATATTTAGTCTGGTGTAGTCAACTGCTTCAAACTTTGACTTTAAATATTTACTCAATAAAATGCCTAGACTTAAATTAAGCCTTCCAGTTCACAACTTCAAACGGAACTCTCCATATTTTGCTATCCTACAGGCTATTCAGCTAATAAAAGTTGTATAGTCTACTTCCCATCTTCAGAAGTACAGTAAAAGGGTAATATTCTTGGAGTTATGGAATAAATTTGCTACATATATTTGCAAAAATGATCACTACTTCTAGAAGTACACTGCAGTTTGGTTCCAGAGTTCTACAAGAACTTATTTTAGCTAAATGAGGATCTAATGTCAGTCATATACAAGCAGTGATACAGCACCAGAGACGAAAAATGCTGCTTTTTCCCAAAACTTGGTTAGGCTTCAGTAACTCTTGCATCTCGTCAAAATATGACTAATAATTTGAGATACAGCTTCAACAATTATCCCCCTCTAAATAAGGGGCAAGATATTATTTTCTAGGATTTTGTATTCAGAGACTATTGAGTTCTTAAAGTAACACGATACCTAAAAAAAGACTACATATGGGAACACAACATATACAGCTTCTTCAAGACAACTTACCAGTAATGGTATTATAATGGTACGAGGCATGAGTAAATGCCTGAAGAAGATAAGCCTTGTTCTTAAAACTGTAGTTTATTTTCTTCTCAAAGTTTTCAAAACCAGAAATAAGGTGATTTAGGGTTTTTTCAGCATCTGGGTGATCAAACATACACCTCGGTGGAATCTTCAAACAGCCATACTCCAGGTCTTTATACAGAGAAGGCTCTGAATTAGCTACAGAAGCAGAAACTGAGTTCGGTGAAAGATTTTTCTGCTCACTGTTACAATTCTCTCTGGTAGCACACAAAGTGCCTTCCCAATCAGTCTTTTTAACTACAGGGAGCACCTTCAGCCCCAATGAACACAGGAAAAGCTGAGCAGCTCTTTCACCACAGCTGGTCAGGTAGCAGCCCAACAGGGCTTCCACACAGTCTGCAATGCTTTTGTCAGCAATACACTGCTCTGTATGCAAGTCATAGGAGATAGATTGTTTTCCTGCATCAACACCACAGTTTTCTTCTGATGGATTCCAGAAGCCCACTACAAAATCATCCTCTTCAACAGCCTTGCTAGGATCCAGATAGCACATAGCATCCCAAGAGCTATAGTCAAAATCATCAAAATCTGACGAAAACTGAACGTTACCCAGGGATGACTTTTTGGGCGCTTTCCATTCATAGTTTGAATCAGTGGTTGAAAAGTGTGAGAGAGAAATTTTCTTCACAAAAGCCCCAGATCCCATTAACATATTATCAATGAATTTGATATGCTCCTGATCATACTCCAGAAAATCATCTTCAAAGTCTGCTTCTTCCTTGGATAACCTCCACATTAGGCCTTCGTCCTCTTCATCATCATCATCATAATCAAGTTTACCATTAGCCAACAAGTTCTCCTTTGTCTATGAAAGAACACAAAAAATACAGTACTAAAGAGGGAAATAAGAAACTTTTATTCCAGAACTGTCAGAAGAATAAGATTTGAATAGTATCTGCTAATAGTAAGACTGTTTTTTTTCATTAATGTTCCTAATTACATTGTCTGACCAATGCACAATACAACCTCAATTAATACTACCATTCTGAGGTTAGAATAATGGTCTTGGAATAGAAAAGCTTTATTACTAACCTATAACAGCATACATTCCACATATAACATGCTGCATTTCATAGGAATTCGTGCTTAAGCTTGAATGTGGTGCACATACAAGAATTTTAAAACCATTAAACATATACTTGCACACCAAGTAAACAGAAGAAAGAATTCTAAATTAACAAATTTAGAGAAGTACATGAAACAGTGCATCCTTCTCTCTACATGTTTAATCAATGTAATTCTGAAGATTCTTTCTACATTCTTCTATGGCAAATACTAAGAGGCTTGCAGGGTTTACTACAGTCAGGATAATCTCAGTTTTGGGACACAAAAATGGAAAAAGCAATTAAATAACTGTCTTTACCCTCGTCCTTTAACAATCATCACTTGAAACAGCAAAATACATTGATTTATGCTCTCAAACATAGTTTGCTATAAATTAATTCTGTCTACTTGGCAAACTAGTAGAAAGTAAGTTTACTGAATCAGTGTAGGTGATTTTTATACTACAGATCACAAATGAGAGTCTAATGCCCATTAGTTGGCAAGAATATAACACTTATGTGCATGACAGTCTTGACTGTATGGGTTGGAGGCTCAGTAAGTGATCTTTCTGTTTATTAGATGTTAGATATAGGCCAATTTTGGTTCTGTAAGAATTATTAACTTGCACTGCAGTTTTTAAATACAAAATCTCTCCAGTTTGTCACACATTGAGTATTACCAGAATTTCAATATAACAGGTCTAAGAATGGAAAAGCAGAAAAAATAGCACACTTGTGTAATATAGGTTTTGTTTGTTTTCAAACTGAATATTAACATATACATTAAATAACAAAGTACAATAATAACTCAATGCAAAGGCAACTAGTATTAATCCTATCCTTCAAACAAGTACATATTTGTTTAAATTTCGGGGGTTTTTTTCAGGCTATACTTACAGCCTTCGCTAATTAAAAGAAAAGTTGAAGTTGTCACCAATTTTCTGACACTTACATACATACCCACAACAGTAAAGCTAATGAAGTTTAGGTCTCTTCCCTGCTCATGTTCAGCAAATTGGTACAGACTGATGCAAATTACAAATTGAACACAGATATGCTCAAGCTCTACAATGCTGTACAATTTGCCATGGCTCCAATCCAGGAAAGCACTTGAACATATTATCTAAATGTACAAGTAGTCTTCCTAACTTCAAAAGCACTACCCAGCATCACCGATGTCAGTGGGAATTCTGACACTGAATTTGATAGGAGCAAGATCAGATTCAAAGTGCTTTTCTGGATTGGGTCCTGAAAGCCAACACCATTTTGAATCAAGTGAAACAGCCAATATCTGCCCTGTCTGTGATGCCACACTGTAGGTCTCAGTCACTTAATCTTCCAAAAATCTGTGAACCAGATGCTACCACTGGGGACCTCTCCCTTTGGGCCAAATGTACAACTCTCTAGAGGTATGGATGGGTGGCAGCTGTAAGGTGCACTAGGCAGCACTTTAAACCATCTAAGGATCAAACAGATCATGACATTCCTCATCAGGATGGAACAGGCTTAGTCAGGTTTAGTAAAGGAGAGGGGTGATGGGGGAAGAGGCTACAGAAATTCATAGTTTAGAGATTTTGCCAAAAGAATTTTTGCTGTTGTAACTACCATGCCACGTACACACAGCAGGGACTTCTGTAACTTTAACTGATCAGAAAGAGATAGCAAAACTTGCTTTGAAATAGTTATTTTTGATACCAGAAGCAGTATAATGCTCAAAATTAGATTAATTTAAGCAGTCCCAACTAGAGCTAGTGCTGACTTTTTCTTGTTACACATCACCTGCCATATCTATCGCTGAAATAAAAATACACTCTCTGATGACTGTGTATTCATATCCATCATATGGATGATTCAAAACAGGTTCACAAAGATTTAACAAATGATAACTTTCATTTTTACTACAATTTCATTCACAAGTTTCTTAAAATCAATTTTAATTAGGATAGCTAATGTAGCTGTCCTGCTAACATTGCCTAAACATCACTTTTTTTACTAAGGGAAAAAAAAAAAAATCTAAGTGATGGGGGAAAAAACAGTAGGTAAAGGAGCCAGGGAGCAATTCTGATAGTTGATTTTTTTCATCATTAGACAGCACTTCAAAAACAAATCAGCAATGAACCCCAGAAGAAAAAACCTTTCCTTAAAGAATACTTGATTGAGTTTGAGTAAGTTATGGCCACTTACAAGCTGAAGATAAACAGATGGAAGGGTGCTTTTTTTCATGCCTTTTGGAAATCTGCTATTTGATCAAATGAAGAAAGGAAGATCTTTCCCCTTAATAAAGCTTGATAACACAAACACAATCAACATTTGACTAGGATGTTTTAGTAATAATTTGTCATAATGATATAAGATTTCTAGCCCCAGTCATAGACCACCAGCCCATGCATGGAGAATGAAAATTATACTGAAGAAAGCAAAATAACTACTTGGCACAAAAACCCCCCACTTCTTAGTTGCATCGCTGTCTGCATTTTGGTCTGAAATTGTGTGGTTTATTCACAAATAAACAGTGACTAGCAAAGAGGAAGAGGCCACTGAAAAGTTACAGAGAACTGCAAGCTTTTTAAAAGCAATGATTAGCTCCTGTCCCAAATGTGCTCTTTATTTTTAGAAAGGTAGAGCAGTAAGTCTCTTTGAACTGAAGTCTTGGCAAAATACAGAACCACAATAATCAGGTTGTTTTATTCTGCAATAAATATTTATTTGCACAGTACATTTACCTAACAGTCCTCTCATGTGCCCTCTGGTGGTTCTACAATCCGAGTGTGGTCTTCAGAATTGGGGGAAAGAAAAAAAACCCTCCACACCCTTTCCCTGACCTCCAAACTGGCCTCAAACACTTAAAGATGATGCTACTGACTGGTGCTATCAATGATGTTTCTTATACATGCACTTTTACTCTCAACATACAACGAGTTTAGTCAGAAAATAATTTGAATCATTCCTCGTTAAGAACTGCCATTCTGAAGTTTTTGGTGATAGACAGTGAGGGTGTCCCAGCCAGCACTGTATTTTGGATGAAAAGTAGCTCTCAGTCATACCTATGGTTTAGCTAACAGCAACCAAAATTGAACATTTTCTCAAGATAGTTCTAATCCTCATTCTGCCTCAGCACTATGAAAAACAGCAACTCCTCTTCATACAGTCTATAAAGGTGAACTCACCATTTATTAAAAAGCAGTCTTCTGCCTACATGTATAAAACAGCAAAATTAGTAATGATAATTCCTTTTAAATTTTCAGAAAGAAATGTCAGAAAAACTTCTGAAAGCATACTAACTACAAGCAAAAAAAGGGTTTTTTCTCTGCTTTTCTAGTAATATATAAACTAATCATTGGATGATGTTCAGTAAATTTCCTTACTTCAGGTTCTAGCCAGGATCAGTTTTCCCCTCATTTTCCATAAGTTATAGTGAAGTTTTAGAAAGGAAACAAAAGACACAGATTTACTTTTTTCCTGAAAACATAGCAAAATATCTGGGGGATGGGAGGAGGTAGGGGTGAGAGAATGCAGAGAGATGAATAATTATTCCTCAATGGAGTGAAAGAAAATCTTACCATTTCATCTTTCTCCCACTTATCAGTGTTGCTCTTGTCCTGGTTTACTATATAACCAGGAGGAAGCCAGTTGACTGGGGGATCAAAAATCGACACCACCATACGACTAGGCAGTCCTTTCTTTTTTCCAAGGCGATACAAGTTACAGTTGCTGACCTTCAAGAAAAACATTCTGGTAAACCTCTGGACACACATTTATGTAGAAATAGGTTAAAATGCAAAAGGAGTAAAACAATTTTACACATCAAGCCAGATCTTGTCCCATTATGCATTTTCTCTAGTTCTCAAAAGGGAATTCAGGCTTCCTTAATATAGTACAACCAATTCACAGCAAGGTACAGATTTTTTTTTTTTTTTATTTATTTTTTAAGATCAAGTATATTAGGTGTGACAATTTCAGTTAGAGAAATATGACATATTAGATTTTCATTTCAGAATAAAATTATTGCTACTTTTAAAATAATAGTAAATACAGCCTGTACAAATGTCATTAATTACCAGTATTAATAATCAACATTCATACTAGATTTGGAATAAAAAATAATTGCTATTATGGGTAGATTGATCTAAAACTTGGCAGTAGCGAGTGTTTTAACAGTTCTGTTTTTAAAGTCTTGAAATTTGAACTTGATTATTCAATCACTTCCTTTATTTGAACTGTGCAATTTATTTAGCACTCCTTATTTTCCAAGATTAACTATTCAATCATTTTTTTCCTCAGTGATGCATTTCATTAGAGGTAAACAATAAAATCGTTAACATTTAATTCAAGCTATCACGTTACGTGCGGAAAAAAAACCTGAACAAAACAAATTTTCACATGATTGCTTATTCCAGAATTTTAAAACAGCTACAGTAGAACTTAAGACTCTGCTCACTACTGTTTATACTTACTTTAAAATACACTTTCAAAAGTTTTGATGCAACAGTTCTGTAAGATTTTTTGTTGTTTCATTTTAAGTGTTCCTATAAGATCATGCTAATTTTTTTTCAAGGAAAGTAGCTTATTGAGGATGGGGAAAAAAAAAAAAGGAAAGGTCAAATAAAGCTACAACCTAAGGCTCTGTGCTGCTAACTCTCACATCTTCATTGAAGCACTCCTTTTAAAGAGCTTCTATTCAATACAGCTCTAGTGTTCAGTCCAGCAAACATCCTCACTAGCCCAAAACTTTTAGTTCTATTCAGTCCTGTCCTTGCTTAGGCTGGTAATCAGCTGGTTTAAATTTCAAAACAAGCTGTAGAAAACAGTTTCAGTCAATCACAGTCCCAGCAACAGTAATCCTGTAGTCCTGCATTTTTATTCCTAATATGCATGCTACCCAACGTGTAATCAGTAAAGCTGTGGAATTAAATCAACCTGTTGCCATTCACTCTTCTAGTAAAATTTTTATATATATGGTTTGTTACAGCATGCCTTTTATATCACCTCAATGGATTGTTACTACTTACTTTTTTGCTTCTCATATACGACAGTCGTCCCTCATGAGCATCAGGGTAAGTGCAAAACAAGTATGTAGTGATGGCATGTTTTAAAAATGAATCACCAAGCATTTCTAGCCGCTCCAGATTAAATCCATCACTAGCATTTGAAAGAGTCAAAGCTTGAAGAATGAGACCAGGATTAGGACCGAGAGTTTTTGAGGAGTACCCATTGGAAGGGTTCTTTTCAGCATCTGCTCTGTCTTTTGAAAGATTAATAGCTTTTGAAGCACTGGTGGTCACTGCCATTTTGGGGCATCCATCTGAGGTAGATCTGTTACTCAGTAGAGTACATTCATTGCTGGGCTTGGGCTGGTTCTCACTGCTGTACAAATTCTGAATGGGATATGAGGTAGTTGGTTGTACAGGTATTTCCTGCCTGCAGTAATTCAGCTGATTTCCTTGGCAAAAGTCTCTGTTAACTAAATCACAATTGCCATTGGCAAGATTTTTATTATAAGAAACACCATTAATTGCTGCAAGTTCTGCCGAGACATCAATTTGGATTTTACTGGGTGACTCATTGAGCAATGTTCTGTAATTCACAGACATTTGGTCATGGTTTTCTGCAGAAGAGGTTCTATTAGCACCTTGATGTGCAGCATTTTCAGGGACTACAATTGTGCTGTGCTTACAGTAATTTTCATTCTCTACTAAAGAGGAGTTAGGAATAGAGATGAAGGATTTGCTGTCAATAGACTTTTTCCATCCGAAGTCCAAGTTAGGATATCTGTAAAGATATATGCTGATTTTGTTAACAAAAAAATATTACCACAAGACAAGACTACTATATGCACATACATGTTTAAAACAATACATATTCTGAAAACAACAGTGACTGCAGCACCTAACTTCACCATTCACAACTGAGTCTGTTAAAACTATGTTGCACTGAAAACAGACACGAGATAAACAAAGGGTATCAGTTTTAAATTCATGCAGTAATGATGAAGCTTTCACCTTGTTTTCCAGTCAAGTCAGACATGATATTGAAAAATGCAAATTGAAAAAATACATACCTGAAATCTGCAGGAAGTGATTTAACCCCTACACCAGCATCAGTGGCTGTTTGAGCTCTTAGTTCCTCTGCTGTCAAAAGGCAGTGCAGGCGATAAAGTATGCTGGGAAGGCAAACTGCTTTTCTCCACAATGATGCTGGAATAGGATGTATAGCACAGAGTTCTGGAACCAAGATCTGGGGAGTGGAGGGGGGAAGAAAATAATTTTACCTGTAAATGTAGTCATCAGATCACCGTTAAGAGAGAGGCAACTTGAAACAGATACTTCTGTTTTACCTGCTTATTCTGCAAACTTTCCCACTTCGCTTTCCTCTTCTCAGCACTGCTTAGTGGAAGTGCTTTCCCCTTCTGATTCAAATGGCGAGGAGTCAAAAGATTAAGTCTAAAAACCATGTAAAAATAGTTTAATGTCAGTACATAATTGATGAACAGAACTTACTAGGCTAATTTTTTAGAACTGAAGTGATGACTTATTCTTAGTATTCAAACTTAGTGTACTGTGAAGTGACAGCACAGTCACCTCTGGAAAAAAATGGACTCAAGTTACAGTTGCTATAATGTAAGCTAAGTACCCCTCAAAAAAAAAAAAACAACCCAAAGCCAGTAATTATTTTGGAAAACATAAGCCCTCAAGCTACAAACATCAGACACAAATATGACTGTTGTTACCTTGAAGATGTATGGTCCACATCCAGCAGTGGCTGGTTGAGATTGGTCAGGTCAAGATTATACTTTGTTTTATAATATTCAGCAAAAGTTTCATATTCAGGGGAAGGGAATTTACTGAGTGGAGTAAGATCAGTGTATACATCAGCTACATAGAATCGATGAGGCTGATCAAAATTTCGATACCTAAAAAAAAAAAATAATAATAATAAAAAAAAAAATATATATATATTTTGGCATATGTTATAGCACAAGCCTTACCCTAAGGCTAAGTTCATCATGTTCTAATGTGGACAGGTGATAAACTCTTAAATAACTCACTGGAGGTTTTTGGTTGATGGGGTCTTCTACTGTAGAAACCATCTGTTTAGCTAACTCAAATACTAAATGAGAAGTGTGCTATAAGATAAGGAAGAATGGAATCAATCTATGGAATTCCACCTACAGAAACATTTAAATTAAATGCAGGTTTTGTGTCTTCAATATCTAATACAAAAATCAAGCTCTCGACAACAATCTCCAAGAGTAATGCTACAACTGATAATTTCTTAATTCCAAACACCTAATAATCAAACTTTATAATTTGGCTTTTTAATGTCTAGTCTTCTGCGTGCTAAAATCAGCAGAAATTGAGTTCTACTGCATACAAAGATTGTACTACTTCTAAACTGGCATTTTAACCAAGTCATCCTCCAAATAAAGTTAAAACACAAAACTTTAAATATCTAGTAAAGTAAATTCACAAGCCTTCCAAGGACAATACTGTTCTTGTAATATAGGCAGAATGTTAGGAAAATAAAGTCAGAATGCTGCAACACCTTTATTGTGGCTACTGATGCTCACTGGATACTATGGCAGTAAAATAATAATTAAAAGTGCACAGGAAAATAATAATTAAAAGAAATAATTAAACCAACATGCAATATTTAGATTTGCATATTAGCTTATTTCATACTTTGATCTGCTGCATCTATCATTTTAAGCTCCTATTCAAATATCTAAATAGACATCTCTAAATAAAATTAATACACTATTATTGAGTCTTTTTAGTTTTCTTCCTAAGAGAAAGATTGAGAAAACTTTATTCCCAGGCTGTCTGACCTTCTTCCTTGAAGAACATGCTGGACAAAGGAGCTTTCAGAAAGTCCTTTTTTCTTATCTTATTCACAATCATGCCTATTCTGAAGAATTCAATCAGAACAGTACCAATACACAGTCACCATCTTATGCTGCCCATGAGGAGCTTACAACCAAGTAGGATAGAGAAGGACAAGCACATATTTCTACCATTTTATGCTGACTGAAAACAGAAGTACCTGAAATTCTGAGATTTCTTAATGTATGAAGCAGTTCTCATAAGAGATGTACTCAGCCACCTACCCCAGCCCCGTCGGGGGGGGGGGGGGGGGGGGGGGGGGAAATAAAAAAAAAAGGAAGGGAAGGGAAGGGAGAGGAATAATAATACAGCTTTAGGCACTGTGGCCAGATCTTCAGACAAGTGAAATCCCATAGCTTTGCTGAAGTTCAGCAACTGTGGTTGCTAATTCATACCACCTATCAGCTACTTCTATGGCATTAACTCTGATCACATCAAGTAATGCTTATACATAGTGATGGTTTGTCACCACTTTTTTTACACTAGCATTTTACCACAGTATTCATCAGCACTGGAAGGAAGGCATTTAAAGAAGAAAAAAAAAAAAGTCTAAACACAGATGAAGCCAAAACAAAGTATTAACATTTATCTTCCATTTATATTCTGCAACTACCATTGTTTACAATATACTAGCTACAAGCACAAGACAGTCAGTCCAATTTCTTTTTTCACATCATGCCAAATATGATAAAGGGATTAATTAAGTCTCCACAAAACCTACCAATTCTGAAGAAACTTTGCATATCCAGTACATGAAGTGATGTAAATTTCTCCTCTAAATTACCATTCAATAGAAAGACTCTTTTAACTGATCTTTTTCACTTGTTATTTTTTCCATCTACCAACACCATGCCTTCCTTTAGCTGGTTTTTGGTGTGAATAAGCAGTAACCAAAGAACAGGACTCCCACTCAATCTTCCAAATAAAGATTTGTTTCAGTAGGCCAGTTCTTGATGAAGTTGCAATGTTTTATAAGAATACTACGCAAGTTTTGTGGTGAACTCTGCTATTCCTAATAAAAAAGTAATGAGCCTTGGGAGGTCTAAGCATTTCAATCCTACTATGTAAGATTAACTGTTGACTAAAAAAAAAAAAAAATCTTTAAATTATTTGATACACCACCAGATAGCTTCAGATTAATAGCATACATTTCTTACAAGCAATTCTGTTGCAGATAATAATAACATTCCCTGTATTTCAAGTGTTTGTATAAATACAATAGGTACATACCTGAAGTAAAGATACAATACTCACCGTGGAATGATAACTGCATCCTGGTAATCTTCTAACTTGAAAATAAAAGGCATTTCTTTTGTGTATTGTGTACTGGGAATGCCTGTACGTGCCTCAGATTTCTCAATGTCTTCCATAAACTTAAAGTCAATGTCCAAAGTGCTGGAGTCATCAACTTAAAAAGGAAAGTGTGTAACTTGGTTATTCAGGGGAGAGTTTTCCAAGCTAAGCTTTTCTAGGAAGTTGGAAATGACAATTTTTTTTCTTATTCTATACACATATTTGATTATTAAAAAGAAAAAAATATTAAAAGGAGACATACATATGATTTTAGACCCTTATGTAGTCTGCTGAAACAGATTATAAATCAACTCACATCACCTGGTTAAAATTTGGAATTGTGAAGAAGTAACAAAAAAATATCTGACAAACTTCCATACTATCACATATTGTATTATTTCTACAGCTGACATCTGAAATTGAACATAAACATTAACAAACATGTTGCTAAAGGAATTCAAAGTGAATATTTAGAAAACAAGAGCACTCTTCTTACCAACATTAAGAGGTAGAACACAATAGGCTGAATCAGCTTCTGTGGGTTTGAACTCTAGTGCAGGTTTCTCAAGACGAAGAATATGTGAAAAAATGTACTGGTGGAGTCGCGTTATCAGCTCAAGCATTTGCAGAGACAGAGTAAAACCAGATTTCTTAAGCTCAATAGATATTGTAACCTCTCCAGAGCGAGTATACACAGGAAAGTGAGGAATCTAAGTAAGAAAAAAAAAAACCCAAAAGAAATCAAGAGAGAAAATCCAGAGTAGGATTTCTCTACAAAGTACCAATTATTTAGTTCACATGCTGAGGCAGTGGTTGCCTGACTCTGCAGCAAAATTTTGACCTTTGATGACCTTAAATTATAGATGAGATTTTGAAGGCTTAAAGAATGACTGATTATTTTTTTTAGTAGTTTTCCTTGTGTTTAACAGCTCTTCTCTTTATGAAAGATCAAGTAAAAATGGAAGCTGAATTTTCCATTATGAAGAAAACCAGCAATATTCCTGAAATGTTTTCTTCTGCAAACAATAGAAAGTATAATTTGAAAAAAATCTTCCTCAGCTGAGTCTCATCCACAGAAAATGCCTTTCTATTAACGACTTTCTAAAGCAAGAGGTGCCAATTTCAATTAACATGGCCTACTTTTTCTGCTGCTGCAGACTAAGAATGCTGAGAACACTTGCTACCACAGCTTTCACGTAGACAAGGTAGCACTGCAGGCCATCTCTGTAGCCGATATGCCACTCCTATCATACTTCATACAGAAAAGGAGGAACATTTTTAATTTGCCACTGCAAAATAATAAAAAATAAAATGTAAACCAAAAGTTTGGCAAAAACAGAAGAGATTGTTCCACCATTAAAGACATAAAATGAAGTGGTGACTGGACTGGATGGATAATGTTGCTTATTTTCTGGAGGTTACTTGATACAAGCAGTACTTATGGTCACTTCCAACTCTTCAGTCTAGGTGTGGAGAATAAGCAGAAAACGCCGGGTTGTAAGGCATGTAGAATAAGGAAGGGTGCTAGATTAATTACCTGAGGTATAGGTTTGGCTGTCAATATGCCAAAACATCTTGTTGTATCCTCAGGAGGATACAGCTTTCGTCTCCTGAAGTTGAGCTCATCAGGTAGAGGAGTCGTTAACACCATTCCTATTACATACAGGTAACAGGGCTGATCAGGTTTAGGATAACTGTCCCTCAAACATTCTGGAATCTAAAAATCAAAAAAAAGAAAAGAAAGCTAACATAATAGAAATCAGCAAAATTCACCAGAAGACTACTCTTTGAACAAGAATTCACATGTTTATTTGGAAAGGTATTGCTAAAAATGAGGAATAAAAAAAAAATTAAGCTGGACTTAAGCAATGTTTTATTTCTTAAACAAAATGCTTGGTCAGCAGCCTGGCCTGGCAGCCATGAGATCTGCTTGACCACTTGCATCAACGGAGCACGATGCTCCCAGATCTTCCTTTTTGCCAAGAGGCAAATTCCATTACATTCCTAAACCTCCTCTGTATCCATCCTGTGTAAGAAATGCAAGTCTAACTGCAGAACAGAGAGCACTTCACCATAAACACAACTGAAGTTTTGATGCCAATTTCCATATTTAACCAGTAACTCTGAAGTACACTTTATGTTCAAGGTCTTTGACCTTAACTGGGGGGAGTGGGGGGGGAAGGAAAGAAAAATAAAAATGTGCGTGCACAGGAAAAATCCTACATCCCAGTAATTCAATTCTCATATAAGCTTAGTTGAACTTACAGCTTCATTAACATGGATTCTTTTTCCCCGGAGAACTGTTTAGAAGTAGCAAAAACGTTTTTTATATACTTGGGACAAATACACAAACAAAATCTGGTGCATTGCCCTTTGCCCAGGCACTACACTGGAGAAGTTTTCTAATAACAACCTAGCTTGCAGATGTGAATATTCACAACAGCCACAAGCACTTTTAACTCTGATGCACGTATTTGTCACAGACCTTAAGAAACCATGCTTTATGTTTGGTAGCAGTTCCTCACTTTGTAGGTCTCAAAATCCTCCTGTTTATCTAAAAGTAAATTGCAATACATGTAGTGCTGGATTTTAAAGTTATACTGTAGCAAAACTATGGCTTTGGCTTAATGGAAAATTACTCATAAGTTTAATAACTGTATTAAGCCCAAGAGGACCTTGTAGACCTTCAACATTTGCCAAAGCTTCTTTTCCAGATGTGAAAAGTTGGGACAAAAGCAAGGGAAAGTATTCTTGGATTGTGTATTAAAAAAAAATAACTGAGAAAGAATAATGCATCACTTGACAAATCAACTCCTCTGAATGAGAGATACCATAATTGTGCATTTAATGAACCACCCCTATTCCAACAATCACTAGTGAGGTAAGAGGACTCAGAAAGGCACTTGGAACAAGAAGCACCAAGAAACACTGAGCAAAGATTCAAACTGTTTGTGAAGTTCTGCAAGAAAAAGATTTTCTCATCTGTCATTCTCTCTGTAATACAGTCTGTGATGACATAGTGTCCTTTTCTAAAATTTCCTAGTGACCGATTATTTAAACCACTGATAAAACTGGGGCATGTGGGAGATGCCAAGAATGGAATTATGAAGGGCTATCAGCATAGCTGACGGCTGCACATGACTATACAACACAGTGCTGCAGCCTACTACTGTGAGTGTACGTGCTGACACTCCTACATGGTAGCGACCCAAGGCTACCGCTTTCTCCATAAAATGCAGAGATTGCCAGAAGCTACTGTTCAATGTATCCTGAATGAGTTACCTGTCCTATTGAAAGGACCTTAGACAGAACCTGTAAGAACTGAGAGGGAGAAGGAAGGTTCTGGAGTTGTTGACAAATAATCTGACAAAGCTTCTTTTCTCTATTTCTTTTCAAGTATTTGACATTCCCCCATAAATACTACTTAAGAAATCCAATTCTACAAAGTGATGTGGCTAAAACCTGTTGTAGCAGATCTAAGCATAAGTTACTTAATAATACAGAGCTACAGCAAGTATCTTATGTGATCACTTTAACACATTAAGTATAATATTTAGAACTACTTTAAAATTAAAAAATATTAAAAGTATACTTATTTGATATTCTAAGATTTAAACCAAAATTTATAAAATTCTATGTTCAACCAGTAAAGTTACCAAACTAAACCAAGCATCTTTAAAAAATTAAATAAATACATAAATAAATAAAATTCTGTGTTTAGCACCTGGCAGATAACTTTGACCCCTGGGCATCTCCTTCAATCTTCAATTATTTGTCTAGAAAACAAATAATTCTTCCTTTCCTCTAATATATTTACCAGAAAACTTAAAAGATTTTAGTTTATTAATGCACGACAAGTTTTCCTCCCAGTTATTTCCATACTAGGCTAATACAGAGTCAACAAGCTTTACAAGAGGAGTACATTCTTTGAACTAGGGGCACGCTTCCAAAGCGTATGGTCCCATAAGCTCATTCAGATAACAGTCCAAGCTTCCAAACAGTTAAAACTGCATAATATTTCTACCACAAATGCAAGACTTGTTGTAAAAGATTCTTATCATATAAGATCAGAAGTTGGCAATTTTGTTTTATCAGCATGTAAAGCATTTGATTGGCGATATGGACAGCAGTGAGTGATACTAACAGCTTTAGGATAGCACTGTCTTCGTTTTGTAGAGCCTGGCCTTCCTGGAACACTGGTTTCTTCTTCATCATGTAAATCAAGCTCCTCCTCATATTTAACCGTTTCTTTACCAACTGGCATCAAATGATCATCCAGTTCACCTGAATATTATGAAAGAGTACAAAGAAATAGCGTTATGAATAGTCACATCTTGGTTCCTTCATACTATGAAGCAGATATGATTGCTCATGAAAACACCTCACCTAAGTTTTTAAAATATACTTAGTACTGCAAGGCTCTGAAAGTGTAACTTTGGGGAAAGTTTTTTTGTGATAAAGGTTGGATTTTTGTCAAAAATACATATCTACAGTAAAAATTTTAATTAATTTTTAATTCTAAAATGAAAATATAAAGGAAAATAAACTCTTTTTGCCCATAAAAAACAACTAGTGACTGAAATACTCTTTTAAAAATTACTCACACAGAGTTATGCCAAGAAAGAGGGAACAGTTACATTTCTGTGTCATTCTAAAAAGAGAATTAATTACTGTTGAATGTGCACTCTCAACACTGAGTTGAGTCATCATGGTATTACTCTTGGATACCTTTATTGGTATGAATTCAGTGATCAAAAGGTTTAACCCAGACAGAAAAAAATAAAAACCCCAGATCTACAATTTTTTTTTGCTTAAAAGATAAATACTTCTGTACTTCATCAAAGCTCCCATAACATGGCATTCTCTTTAAAACATTCCACAATAAAGAATATGCTCCATTACACTTACTAGAGACAAGAGAGCTTAAGTAATCCTACAATATCCTATTTTTAAAATGTGACTTATGATACAACAGAGAATACAGCAAAGTTAGAGCTGTATATTTTATATTTTAATTTGTTACAATTGACTTTAAAAAACAAGGGGGGTTTGGCTGCAGGATGTAGTCCCTGACCTACAATAAATATCTTGTAGAGAACAAGACTCGTTTCCCCTTTATTAAGTATATTTTAGGTCAAAACCTGTGTCTTGTATCACCATTGCATTTGCTGTTTAAGACAAAATATGTTAAATAGCAAGATACCTCTGGAAAATTTAACTTTCACTTACAAGGTGTAAGCTACATCAGTAAGTACATGACGTGTACTTACTGATCACATCACAAAACAAGGTAACAGAAAGGAAGCTATACAGATAGCTATAGCAGAAATGAATATATACAGGTACCATGTTCAATTTCTCAATTACAAAACATTCTTTACCAAAGACGTGTTGCTTTTCCAGTTCTTACCAATTTTGTGCAGTTTTTCACAGCAAATAAGAGCTACAACTCTCTCAGCCAGTCTTGCACAACTCATTGGAGGACCCTATAAACATTTACATATTTCTTAAAAATTTTGGTTGATTAGCACATCATTTATTAAACACATTTAATTAGTTTAATTTAATACAAACATATTAGGGAAGCAAATTTGTTTTTAAAAAATGATGGCAATTTTGTGGAGATATTCAGGCTTATGTTGTTTTTCTACAGAAGGCAAAATCACAAGAACTTTAAAGGACATTTTCTTACAACTGATACATAAATGCATAAAAAAACAAGACATTGAGAATAAAATCTAAATAGTTTTGCCTTTGGAATAAACAGTAACTGCTGGAAAACAGATTATAACAGAAACAAACAGTGATCTAAATATAGTTACAGAGCACAATACAGGAAAAGAAAGAGTTATTTTCATTAAAAACATTAAACTAATTCTAGAAATGTGACAGACACATCTATAAGAACATATTCACTTATTTCCATGCTTTTACTTCCCCAGATACCTACAACAATTGAAGCTCGAAGAGGTGAGTTGATTGGCAGGTAGAGAGTAGAGTAAAACGTATGATCAGGTAGTTCTCGGGTTTTACACTTGGGAGCCAGGTGTGTAAATGGATCACTTGGTAATCTAGCGCAGTACCTAAGTTGACAAAACATTTTACAAATCATCAAAACCTACAAATTGAAACCTCAGCATATTTCAGTGGAATCTTGTCTTACTGGTGTAAACAATACAGAAGATTACTTCAGGCCATACTGAGCACTGCAAGGGCACACTACTGACTCATATTCCACTAACTACTGAGCAGAAGCCCTCCAAGTCCTTTACTACAAAGCTGGTCTCCATCAAGGTGATTCCAAGGTTGTAATGACACATGAGACTATTCCGTCTCACGTCCCAGAGTTTGCATTTCTATTTGTTTAATCTCTTGAGTTTACTGTTGTCCTATTCCTCCTATTTGTCATGGTTCCTCCTCTGAATGGCAGCCTTTCCTCCACCACACTCACTTCTCCCTCTCTCAACTTGGTATCAAATGCATATATGGTGACGTTGAACTATACTGGACCTCCTAATGGCCCATGGGTAATGCCACATATAACCAGCTGCCAGCTAGCCTGTGAACCACCTACCATTACACCCTTCGAATCTGACTACCAGGTTTTATTTACCAGCGAGTCCACCTAAATGGTCTGCATTGCAAGAATTGGCTACTTAGGTACTAGAGCAATTGCATCAAAAGCTTTTGACTTTCACTGCTTTTCCCCCATTCACAGAGTTAATCACTTCATCACACAGGATACAAGGCTGGTCGGGCAAACACCGCCCTCAATAAAACTGTTGACTGCTGCCAACCTCTTTTTCCCTTGTGCCTGGAAACAGCTTCCATGAGGACTTAGTCCATAATATTCCATATGACTAAGATAAAACTGACCAGTCTGCAGCTCCCTGGGTCTTCCTCCATGACTTTTTTAAAGTGTCATAACATTTACCTTCTCTTCTCACGGAGGACCAACTCTGATTGCCATGGCCTTACAAAGATGGTATTTGGCTAGCTCCCTTGGAAGTTTACCATCCTGTCTCATGGACTTGTATTATGTTCAGCTTACTTTGGTTTTGTTTTTAAACATGGCAACAGACTGCTATTACAAATAGGCATATTAGAACTGGAAGATTTTACTACAGCTTTAACAAGTCACTTTGATTTATTTATTTTTAAAGCTAGCTCATTAAGAGCGAGGAAAAAAAAAAACCCCAAATCATCTTACTTTTAAAATAATTTTGAAACTGAGTGTTTTCATAGTAGCTTTTAATTGAATAAGAATCACTATCACTACATTTATTATCAGAGCTAGAACCTCTGTAGGAGAAAGAGACAAAAAGTAAATTATCCCTTCAAACTACTGAAGATCCTGTCAAGATTCCTAAGAGGACACGTGTACAATGCCCCAGCCTATGCTTCCATGTTGTGAGACAGAATAAGAAACTTTTAATAGAAGATAAGTAGTAAAAAGTGAATATGCCTCTTACCTATTTATGTGTCCAATAGCAGTGTTAATAGTAACTCTTGGACTGTTCTCATCTGGCCTCAACACATAGGGTGGAAATACATCATCATCATCAACAATGGGTTCAGTTTCAGTTTCACTGGTATCAACAGATTTTGAACATTTGTTTCTGAGGATCTTAACATTTCAAGAACAGAACATGATGAGAGACTTTTCCCTTAAAAAATACTATGACACATTTAACAAAACCAGGCACATTCCTTTGACCTCATACCTTCTCAATCGCTTTGTATGTCTTAAGATCTTCCTCAAAACTTTTGATTTTGTCTGTGTCTGCTAACATAATGTAATTGGAAATTGGTGCTCTAGCTCTTCCTTTTGACTGCACATAGGAACGGTATTCTGTGGGCAAATCAAAACGCACCACCAAGTTGCATTTTGGTATGTCAACGCCCTCTTCTACAATACTAGTAGCAATAAGCAGGTTAGTCTCATGTGCTCGAAATTTTCTAAGAACCTGCAAAAGTAACGAAGACAAATTTGAGAGAGTAGTCCGAGATCTGTTTCCATCATCAGATTAATCAAAAATCAATAAAAAAAAAAGGTGAGTGGATCAGACATTCAAAAAACTTGTCTAAATATGCAGATATAAAACTATTACAAAAAACCAGAAACACAGCAAGACTATTTATCAGAACAGGCAGATTTTTAGGAATCAAATCTAGTATGCAGAATTACATGAGTCCAAGAAGCTACTACAGCCACCAGCAATGGAGAGGATCCCACCTATTTATTTAGTTTTTCAGCTGCAGTATAAAAAGAAAATGCTGCTTTGAGCACAGCACCTTTTCTAGTCATTTCTGAGGTTGAAACATCCTTGGGGGATGGAGCACATTCTAGGGCTGGTAATTCTGATATTTATACCATTTACTAAACAACACTGAGGAAAGGGTTGTGGTTTTTTTTGGGAGGAGAGGGGACAGAGGGAGGTCAGAAGGACAATCCAGCCAGGGGTGAGGGATAAATGCATTTGCTTTCAAAATACTTTATGTGCTTTAAGTGACATAAAAATAATGGTGTTTTATATTTATATCATTTAATGATGTATCACATTCATTTATAGCAAAGATAATTATTAAAACCAGCTTAACTGTTGAAAATGTCAGGAATTTTTATTTTCTTCACAGTATTACTGTACTACTACTGTGTTACTACTAACCCAATGCAGAAAAATTAGATGGTCAATGATCTGACTAGACACAAACATGATTTTACATGTTTACAAGTTTTAATTTCTGTTTCTGTAATGCAACATAGCAATGTCTCCAAAAATGGTTTGTTTTTTCTAAATTAAGAACATGTGTATCTCCGATACTATGCTTATTTGTTAAGCCACAGGTACTCCCTGAGCTTCCAATGACTATGCCCCACCCTCTGCCTGCTGGTTTGGCTTATTTTTAAAGACATACACACACACACACACACACACACACAAAGAACAAAAAAACCACAAAAGATTCTGAAGGTACTGCTAGTTTCAATTATTTTTCTTGAAGTTACCTCTTCCTGTTTTCTGAATTCTACTTCCATCTGCTTATTACGAGGCTGGTTCTTGCCAATGCCATGTCCAGTTATAAAATTGCTACTGATGTAAGCCAGTTCTGGATCTTGCTTGCCAGCTTCTTTTATCAACCTAAAAATAATACATGAGTTTTTAGAAGTCACACAACCCAGAAAATGGAAGACAGTCTTTTGTTTGCAAGACCTACATTAAAAGAAAAAATGGGAGCATGACAATTAAGCCATGCTAACACATAAACTGACCTTAGTCTTCTCTAAAAACACTAGTTCTAGTGAAAAATCTCTGTAAGGACAATAAAATACAAACAGCATGAGTATGCACGCATCACACGTGTTTCAGATCTATCATGGTAAAGCCAGGTATTTTAAAATCAGTTTATTACTCTAAGTCTTCCTGTTGTTACACCACCCTACTCACAACATTTTCTGTAAATTATGACTGATTTTAGCAGAAAAACCTGTAAATACTCCCTCAAAGTAGTTTTCCTCAATATAAAGTGTTAATTTTCAGGTTAAAACATAGATTGTTATTTTCCTTAATATTACAATACATATTCTGTTCAAGTATTCTAATGACAAAATGTTGACCTGTTTTTCTAAAGAGTGATGCTAAGCCTACCCAGTGAGATGTTTAGTACTTTTGGCATTAACCCAATGAACCTACAATCGGAGGATTTAATCAAATTCTTTAAAAGGAACACTGAACAGGTAGATGAGGATCATACAAGCTCTCAGTTTATTCCCCTACATCCTTCTTTAGGTTACAGAAGCAGAAAAGGCTGGCTTCTGCAGTGTTTTGATTTCATGGACAAAGCAGAAGACTGCTCATGTATAATAATGCACTAGTTCTATAATAATCTAGAACTAGGCATTCCT